GCCAGCCATGCTGGCTGGGGAATTCTGGGAGTTGAAGTCCACACCTCTTACAACTCTTAGAGTTTGAAACTCGAACTTTGAGTTTGAAACAGTGGATTGTTTCGCATTCCCCAGAATTTGAATCTAGTTCTGATCTAGGGCAGTGTTTCCCGGGCATTCTGGGAGTTGAAGTCCACACACCTGAAAGTGGCCAAGGTCGAAAAACACTGCTCTAAGCTGTCAGCCAGATTGATGCCCTCCAAATACGTTGCACTCCCCCCACCTTTCCAGCCAGCATTGTAAATTTTATTTATTATTTGAAACTCGAGTGAATGACCCTGACAGAGCAGGGGAAAAGAATTGCACAAAGGGTGGCTGTTATTCATTGAAGTAGCAGCTTTTAGAGATGCAGAGAAGGGCTTTTTCAAATAAGATGTGTCAGTGTTAGATCTGAACCAGGGAAACCCAGGTTGCTTTCCATCTAAGGTATGGAAACTTCCTGCCTGATAGCGAGTCATTGTCTCTCAGGCTAGCCTACCTCACAGGATTGTTGTAGAGAAACGCTGGAACAGTAGAGATACAGTATGTATTTTGACTTGCATTCTGGGGGTAAAAGTTGGAATATAAGCCTAAGAAACAGATAAGTTCTTCCCAGCATCCAATTTTCATTCTGTGATGTTTTTCTGCTCTTTGTAATGGAGTGTGAGGCTACCTACTGAAGCTGAGGGATAGAAGTGTCAGAAAAGATGAAGAAATGTGTTTCTCTTATGCATTGTTAAAGCTCTAATATAGTTTCTTAAACTTCTTAAGCAGTTTCTTAAACTTCTTACTTTCAGAACCCCTTCCCACTTTTAAAAATTATGGAGGTCCCCAAAAGAGCTTTTGTTTGTATGCAGTATATTTACCATATTAAAAATTAAAATTGACACATTCACTGCCACTACCGTGTCTCATGATTATTTGATGGGATTTCAATACTGTATTATTTTTCAACATAGGTTGGCAAGTAATTTTGATTTTGAGGACCCCTGAAATAATTTTGATGTTGAGGACCTCTGAGGGGGTCTTGGGGGACCCCCAGGGCTCCTGCGACCACATTTTAAGGAACACTGGATTAAACCAATTTATGGAGGGCTGACTATCAACAGCTGTTGGCCATAATGCTATCTTGAAAGACTAATCAGAAGGCCCATCGCTCTCACCTCCTGACTGGTAGCTGGGGAATCCTGGGAATTGAATCCACACATCTTAAAATTGCCAAGGTTGAGAAACACTGGTATAAGTAGTATTGTGTAACAAACTGGAACCATTGTGTGTTTGGCTCAAATCATCGTGTATTTAACTCAAATTTTGCTACAGTGGGCTCCGTTCTTAACTACGGATCATCCGTAAACCAGGCATTCTTAACCCGGGGACTCCCTGTACCCTACAAGGTGGTTGCAAAACTCAGCAGATCAGATGTTTGAAGTGACTGATGTGGCTGATGAACTAATTAGGCTGAAGTGACTAATGGAATTGCCACTTTTTTAATGAACTGAAATATTGTTAGGGCTGGGTGCTTTTGCAGAGAACAGATAACTACAAGAGAACCATGCCATACCTCATCATACAGTATGATCAGTGATTTCCTCCATGTAGCAATTCTGCAATAAATAGATTGGTTGCTTTGAATAGGTTTCGCAGCGGCTGCATTCCTTAAACTCTGTGTGATCTGATTGTTTTAAGGTGAAGCAGGGGATCTAAATTCTGCACAATTCAGAAGCAAAAAATAAACAAGAAAAAAATCTGCTTTTGTTGGCCTCGGTGAATCATTTATATCTTAGCCTCAGGCAGTGTTCACACTAACCCATAATGTGGCTGGTTTGATGTGAAACCATCCATTGTTCATAAACAGTGGTTTATGGCCTAACATCACAAATGAATTCTGTGAATTATAGTTTATTCAATAAATCATGGATAAGTAAATAGATTGGCTTCCTGAATCTCTGGGTTCTTCAGCTGCAGCTTTCAGGCTGCATTTGAATTGCAAAAAAAATTTTTTTTTGATGCAGCCTTAGAGGGAAAGAAGGAAGGAAGGAAGGAAGGAAAGAGACTATATTTTTTAGGATGTCATTTGGAACACAGAGTACTTTTCTGGAAATTTAAGGATTACATTATTAATTTCTTTTTCCATTAGAAGAAAATTAGAACAAGTGGGGGAGATCTAGTAGTGGTTTGCAGTTCTTTGAACTGATGGCTTTTGGGTTGGGTGAGAGTCGGGCAGCCTATAAATTAAATAAATAAATGCATATCCCTTCTTTAATATAACAGTTCTGCATGTTGGCTAAAGAGTGAAGCATATGAAAGACCTAATCCAAACCATTTTCCCAGGAAAAAGTCAGTTTGGTCTAGTGCTGAAAGCCCCAGGCTAGAAAGCAGGAGGCTGTGAGTTCTAGTCCCACCCGAGGCATGAAAGCCGGCTGGGTGACCTTAGCCAGTCCCTCTCTCTCAGCCCAACCCACCTCACAGGGTGGTTGTTGTGGGGAAAATAGGAGGAAGACGGAGTATTATGTATGTTCACCACCTTGGGTTATTTATAAAAATAATAAAGGCGAGATAATTTTTTTTTTAAAAAGAGCTGGGTATTCAAGGAACTAAGACCCCCCCACATTCCTTCGATACCTTTAGCAAACAGTTATTTATTGTGAAGTCGCTGCATTGCTCGTTGCACGTGCTTGTTTTAGCTGTGAGCGAATTAAAAGAACTCTAACTTCGAGACTCCACTGTCGCAATAGACTGTACTGTATGGCCACTTTGTAATGAAACAGCCATTCGATCCTTTCCAATTATCTGGCATTTCTTGGTGAGGTTTCCATCACAGCCCCCCTCGCGTCACTTTTCTTTCCTCATGCACGGATAAAGAAGTGTTACTCCCCTTGGGGGGCTGTGTGGTGTGGGGCTCTTTGCCAATCTGCCATAGTGGCGAAATTTTTGGTAAACAAGGAATAGCCGCTTGCCCTTCGTTGCCACCAGGGGGCAATGTGGCACTCCCCAGAATGGATGCGCTAGCTCCTGAGTCCCCAACGTGGTGCCCAGGAGCGACTGGATTCTGCCCCACCTCATTTTATTTTGAGAGTCTTTTAATTTAAAAAAAAAAAAAAGCCTAAAAGACTGGAAAAATGAACATGTCACAGCCTCAGGCATGAACTATTTCTAACAATGCCTCTGTCCCTAGCTAGACCCTAGAGCAGTGTTGTCCAAACTTGGCCACTTCAAGATGAGTGGACTTCAACTCCCAGAATTCCCCAGCCAGCTCCACTCATCTTAAAGTGGCCAAGTTTGGACAACACTGCCCTAGAGCCATTCTTAGAAAATAATTAAGGCCTGGAGGTGGCACTTGGCTTGGAAGTGTGCCCACCTGCCCAGAAACAAAGGACCAAGGTAAGCTAGGGGCATGCTAGGAGGGCTGGGGAGCAGCCTTGTTTGGCTTCTGGGATATAGGTGTCTTGTGAGTGGCCACACCCCCCAGAGCTGCCATTTTGTGAAAGCGCCCGTGACATTCTCTCAAAACCTCAGCTGTGCCTCGACCCTTCCTCTAGGTTTCTTGACAGTATCTGAGATTTATTTCTTCCATTTATATCAGGCCTTTCCAGACACTCAAGGTGCCATCCACAGCACTCGCTCCTCCCAGTCTTTAGATAAAAAATAGGATCTTAGTTCATGTTCTTACCGGAATTGCAATAGGAGCACTGTTATGAATGTGGAAGGATTGGTCTGTCTGACTCCTGGGCTTACTTTGACTAATAGTAGGGAGACATCACCTTTGGATTCTTGCCTTAGCATGAGGACTAGGAACTTGTTTCCCATTTTACCTTTAAACTTCCTAAAACCACGGCATAGCACAGTAAGGCTATAATTTGTAAATTGTAATTGCATCTGTAATTTGGTTTGGGCATAAAGCAAAGGTAAAAAAATGCAATCTCTTGATGTCACATCGCCCGCCAAGTATGTAGGGACAAAAAAAATGATTTTTTTTTTTCCTTGTGGAGAGTGGGTAATTGAAAAATCAAAATGGACACGTGGGCTCACCTCCTTGTGATTGCAGTAACTGAGAAGGTGATGTTGGAAATGCAGGAAGAACCACAAACTAAACCAAAAAAAAACCAAAAAAAGAGCATTTTGGTCTGTGGTGAAAGCCCCAGGCTAGAAAGCAGGAGGCTCTGAGTTCTAGTCCCGCCTGAGGCATGAAAGCCGGCTGGGTAACTTTGGGCCAGTCGCGCTCTCTCAGCCCAACCCACCTCGCAGGGTTGTTGTGGGGAAAATAGGAGGAGGAAGGAGTGTTAAGTATGTTCCTTGCCTGGAGTTATTTATAAAAAAAATAAAGGCGGGATAAAAAAAATCTAAATCTAAAACAAAAATCTAACCACCCCCCTTCCTGGTGTTGTGTTTTGCTTTGCTTGTTGTTCGCTGTTCTCGTGATTTCAACTCATGTGTCAGGACTTTTCACAACCTGACTCAGATTTGTTCACCCAGAGCTCTTGCAAAGTGTATTGTGGAGTAAGAGTGATTTGTTCGCCAAAGTGTGCTTTGGCAGCTGCCATAAACATGATGTGCAGATTGCTAATTGCACAAGCCTTAAATATTCGGCCTGTCTGTCTC